TTGAGGGACTGTAGGAGGGAACATTTGCTTCTTCATTGGGTATAAAGTTAATTTTATAAGACATTTAATTTCTAGACACCTGATTACAGCATAGTGCCTGGAACTAGCAAATGATATTGAAAACATTCCAGGAGGACAGAACTGGTGTTAATTGCCCTTACCACAGAAAAAAAAAAACAAAGCAAAAAACAAAACAAAACTCTGGAAGGGATGGATGTGTCTAGGGCATTGATTGCATGGGGGCACCAGGCTATGTACATGACTGAACTCATCAGATTGTGCACATGACATATGTGCAGTCCTTCAACTATAACTAGGTATCAGGGAAGCTGCTTAAAACTAAAGTATAAGGGACGACTTGTTTCCTCCATCTGTGAGATCTCATCAGCTCAGGGGAGGTATAAAGCATCCACCTGTGTATCTCACCTCTCTGTGGTCCCCTTATTTTATTGTACTATTCAAATTGTGCACCTTAGTTCTGCTGTGACCATAACTCACACTCAAGTGCAAGAGCCTTGGTGACATATACTGTGGTCATTTCCATGCTGAACCCCTTCATTTACAGTCTGAGGAATAAGGACATCAAGAGCACCCTGAAAATATTCTCAGATAAACTATATAAGTATCCACTGTTCTGAGACTAAAAAATTGCTGTTGACTGCAGAGTTTGGAGCCTCAGAGCAAGAAATGGCCAGTTTGTTCAGATGGTGGAAGTAGAACGTGTTCCTTCTGTTTATTTTCTTGAGTTTCCTTTTCTTTGGTTTCAACTCCTCTACAACAGTTTCATAACTCACTTTGTGAAGCTTTCTGCCCTTTGACTTCCTAACTGTGTTCACCTTTGTCCCTTTCATGCTTTCTCAAAGTTATTTTCAATCGTGGATTGGAAATATTGGAAATTCCCATTTATCTCACGGGACAACTTGCATTTTTAAAAGAATAATCTCTTCTCAAAGGCCTGGGAACACAAAAGTAAGTTCTCTTTCATTTTCACTCGAAAGCCCATACATGTGTTGGACTCCTCCTGTGAAGAAGATGCCAGCTTCTGAATATAGATTGAGAATACATTGGCCTCCACATAGAAATGCTCACATGCAGCGTTTGCTTCTGGCTGGCATCTTCCATGTAACCCAAGGACCTGTCCCCTTCATTGTGTTTTAAATGACAGGATTTCATTCTTCTTGAAGGCTGAAGAGCACTCAGTTATGGATATACCTCATTTCCCTTTTCCATGCATTTACACATGGGAAGCTCGGCTGCTTCCATACCCTACTGTGAAGACTGCCCCAGGAAAGGTGGGGAGTGCAGGTACTTCAATAGGTGTTGAGTTCACTCCCTCTCTTGCTTTATTACCAAGATCTACCTCCATGAGTCTGGATTATTTTTCTGCCTCAAAGCCTCTTAGTTCACCTGCCCATGTGTAGTTTTTGTGGCTAAGACTCTCTCTTCTTTCTCTTCAACCATGTCCTAATTTTTGTTCTATTCAACTAAAATTCACAGAGGACAAACTCCTTACCAGGAACTGTGCTGGACATCACGGTTTTCAGGCACAGATGACATAGGGTTCAGAATTTTGAGGAATTCATACTGTGCATGAGTAGACACATTCAGTAAGCTGAGGATGACAGGAAGCAAAGAGAATCACACAAAAAGGTGGGAAATCTTTGAGTTGGTCTTATTTGCCTCACCTCAGAACACATTTATGCAAGTGAGTTTTCAGAGCAAAAACACACGTAGAGCATCACTTCTGAGAATGTTTATTAAAGATTTGGTTTCTTAAAAAATAAAAAAGAAACCATTATTGTAGATAGCTGGGGAAATGCCATGTTATATTCATACAACTTAGATTTTCTGGATGATAAGTAAAATGGGTGATCGACATAGAACTTTATGAACAGTGCCAAGATCAGAGAAGATCCCAAAGGAAGATCCAAGGGATGAGTTTCTTTAAACAGGTAGCAGCAGAAGTAGTCAGAGGGCTAGATGACAAAGGCCAGGCTCTCAGGACCTTGATGTCATGCATGCTGCTGCTCAGGAGAGTCCTACAATGGCCTTTACTAGGGAGAAGGATCCCTCTGGCCCCTTCTCATTCCTGTTTTTCAGACTGTGGATAAAGGTGTTCAGCATGTGGGTGACCTTCTCCAAAGTTACATCAAGGTCATCCTAGACAAGAGAGTTCCTGCAGTGTTGAGGTAGACCTCAAGAGCTGTGTTTTTAATTTGAGGTGTCCTCCAAAGACCCTGTATTGAACCTCAGGCCCCAGCTTGGTGCTATTAAAAGGTGGTAAAAATGCTAAGAGAAAGGTCTAGTGGGAGGTCTTAGATCACTGGGAGATTTACCATGAATGGGAAATTGGTACCCAGGTCTCTTCCTCTTTCTTTTTTCATTTCCTGGCCATAAAGTGAGCAGCTTTACTCTGCAACATGTCTGCCACCCCTCATCAAGGGCCAAGCCATGGGGCAAATCCATCACAGATTGGAACCTTGAAAACTGTGAGCCAAAATAAACCTTCTCTCCTTATAAATCAATTATTTGAAGTGCTGTATTATAATAACAGAGTGCTGACTAGCACAGCCAGGGCATCAAAGAAGAAATTAGACCCACAGGTGAAAAAGGCTTTGGACTAGCCCCCAGGTAACAAAATTCTCAGGATGGAGGGGAAAAAATCTGAGAAGAAGAGAATAGGATTTCAGTAAGAGAAAAAAAAACTAGAATGATAGAAACTGAATATACTGCTACATTATTGATGAGGTTGCCTGAATGGAGGAACTCAGGGCTCTGGAAAGATCTCAGAACAGTGTGGGGTTCCCATGTGTGTGCAGAAGGGAGGCAGTAGGAGAGGTTCTTAAGTAGTAAAAGCCACAGTGTAAATCACACGTCCATCTGTACCGTCTCCCCTAGTCTCTACACAGCAGAGAGTGAGAGCAATGAAACGTCAGATGCCAACATTTCTTATTGTCCCTAATCTGTTTATTTCAATATCCAACACTTTTACCCCAATCAGAAAGCAAATTTCACCACAGTCTTCTGTATGTTTTATGTCTGGATTGACAGAAAGCCACAGCACATTTCAGGGTTCTCTTTCATTTACCAGGTCTCATTAGAACAAAGCACACGAGGGCAATTTCAGCATGGGATGCACCATGACAGCCATGATAGCTTGCAAATACATGGGAGAAAGTGAAAAGCAATCATGACTTCAAGAGGAAAGAGAAACACATCAAAATCTGAACTGTTAACAGATATCATTCACTTTATTAATTTTTAATTGAAATTTTAATTGGAGAAAATTATAAATTAACATTTTAATTGGAGAAAATTATGAATGACCATTTGAGATCCAAGGACCCTTTTGTAAGCTTCCACCATGGTAACACTGAGCAAAATATCACAGCCAGGGTGTTTACACTGATAACAAGGAAATGAAATCACAGCAAAGAGAATCATCCATGCCCATGTATATTGCATCATTCAAAATAGTAAGATATGGAGTCAACTTATGTGCCCATCAACAGATGATTGGAGATACAAAATGTGTTATATACACAACATGGAACATCATTCAACCATATATAAGCATGAAACCATATCACTTGGGGCAATTTGGATGGAGCTGGAGGACATTATGCAAAATGAATAATGCAGATACAGAAGAAGAAGCTCTTCATGGTCTCTCTTGTATGAGGAAGTTAATAAAATGCCAACTAGAATGTAGAATAGAGATTAGTAGATATAGGAAAGGTGTTGGAGAGGAGTGGATAAATGGAGGCTGGATTTGAGGACTATACTCATTGCATTATAGTTAAAGAATGAGTATGTGTGTGTGTGTGTGTGTGTGTGTGTGTGT